AGTTCAGCAGTGAACATTTCCCTTTCCCCAAGCAAGCTGGTCCCTGGGCCACATGGTGGCTGCCAGCTCCAGCAGCTCTGCATTGATGGCCACAAGGCACCGTGTCCCGCGGGGACGCGTGGCGGCTCTGTGAGCAGCTCCAGGAGCAGCTCCGTGAGCATGTCCAGCCCCACATCACTCTCCTCAGGGCTAAAACCCACTGGGTTCCCCAGAAGAGGGTGAAAATCCTACCGCAGCTCCCAAACAGGGGCACCCTGCAAATCCCAGCAGCTCCCAGCACCAGCAGCGCATGGAGGAGACCCTGGTCCCCCTCAGACCATGCGGCACCGGCCTGGCCCTTGGCAGAACGGCTGCTGCCATCTAGTGAAGTGAGCGGAGAGAGGCTGTGGAGCCTCCTTCCCTGGAGATCTTCAAATCCTGCCTGGATGTGACTCTGTGCCCCATGCTCCAGGTGTCCCTGCTGGAGCAGGGGGGTTGGACTAGGTGATCTCTAGAGGTCTCTTCCAACCTCAACCATTGTGTGATTCTGTGAGAGCCTCCCTGCCCGCTGAGCACCGCCACGCTCGTCACACCACACAGCAGCCCAGAGGGGCTGGGCTGCACGGGGACCTGCTGGGGGAATGGCTGTCCCATCGTGCCAGGATCACCTGGGCATCGGGGAAAAAAACCCAGGCTGGCTGGTCGCCTTCTCCATCAGGTCTATAAATAACTTGGCGACGGGATGCAAAGTGCTAAAATGAGTTGAGTTTGGGTGCTGAGGAATGACAGTCACCTGCTCCAGGGACACCAAGTGCATGAGGAGTTGCCCAGGCTCGGACACGGAGCTCATTGAGGTCGGGGAGAGCTGGAGACACCCACGAAGGCTGCAGGACCGTGGGGCATGATGCCAGCAAGGGTATTAGGAGTGCAGACTATCGAGCAACAGAAACCATCCTGATGCTGTATGGGTGGCTGCAGCACTAGATCCTTCCAACGCAGCCAAAAACCCTGCGGAAAACAAAGGAGGGTTGTTGTGGGGTTTGTTTGTTTGTTTTTATGTAAAGCAAGAAAAACAGGCTTAAAACAAGCTCATTCCTGGCAAGCTCTGGCCTGGCCATGCCCCTGCAGTGACCGGC